CAAACACTCACACAAACTCAAACACAAACAATCACAAACACAAACAAACACTCACAAACACAAACAAACACTCACAAACACAAAAAACACTCACAAACACAAACAAGCACAAACACAAACACTCACAAGAACAAACACTCACACAAACACTCACAAACACACACACACAAACACTCACAAACACACAAACACTCACAAACACAAACAAACACTCACAAGAACAAACACTCACAAGAACAAACACTCACACAAACTCAAACACAAACAATCACAAACACAAACACACTCAAACAATCACAAACACTCAAACAAACACAAACACTCACAAACACACATAATCTCAATTGCTTTTATTTAAATTTAAAATTTTTATAATTTAATTTATTATTATTTTTATTTTACATAGGCTACATTAATTATTTGTTTACATTTTTATGATTTAATTGTTTTTCAATAAGTTTTTTATTTGTTTTTATTTAAAATTATTTATTTAATTTGTACATTATCATGATATACATTTTATCAAGTGTTTTAATTGTTTTTATTTTAAATGATTTAGTTCCATTTTACATTTTCATCTTTTGATTATTTTTAGTAAGCATTTTATTTTGATTGTTTTTCATTTTAAAATTATTTTAATTGGACATTTTTATAAATTATTTCTCTTTTAGTATTGATTTACATTAATTGTTTTTATTTTAAAATTATTAAAATTGTACATAATTATGTATTTTTTATTTAATTTATCAAGTTTTTATTTTGATTGTTTTTATTTTAAAATTATTTTTCTAAATTTTACATTATAATTTAATTTTTAGTAAGTATTTTATTTTTTTATTGTTTTTATTTTTTAATTATTTATATTTTCTTTAAATTTTACATCGTGATTTCATTTTTAGTAAGTGTTTTAATTTAATTGTTTTTATTTTAAATTATTTTAATTCAAATAAAAAGTATTAATTTTTATTAATTTTTACATTTGAATTGTAATTATATTAAAATTATTTACATTTTACATTTTATGGATTATATACTGTAACTTTTAATATGTGTTATTTTGATTGGTTTTCATTTTTAAATGATTTAGATCTGATATTGTTATTAATTATTTCATGTTAAGTGTTTTATTTTAAAATTATTTCATTTCTAAATTTTACTGTATTTATTTATTTACATTGTAAAATTTTATGATTTAATGAATATAGTAGACCCTGATCTAGAACATTTTACACATGAAATGAGACATTATTCACACACGCAAATATTCTTGTCATATTTGCATATGGATGTCATTTGGTCTTCTTTCTCACATCTATTTGCACACTGAATAGAGTTTAGTTTCTTCTGTTTTTCATGTATTTTTTATCTATTTTTAACCACCTGCACTGCAAAGATGGTCATTTGGTGTGTTGATTATTTTATTCAAGACTAAAACCTAAACTGACCTAAAACTCCAGTGATGAGCTCATGCACGTCTAACGCAGCTCTTCTGTGTGTGTGTGTGTGTGTGTGTGTGTGTGTGTGTGTGAGGTGTGTGTGTGAGTCTGAAGTATGTGCTGGTTCAGTTGAGTATCTCTGATTACTTCGAAGACGCAGACAATGAAGAAGCCAAGAGATTATTTGAGGAGATTGTCAACAACCTACAGGTCAAATCAACCACCTTTACACACACACACACACACACACACATCTGAATCTCATCTAAAAACAATGGCGTGAAATCGAAATATCGGATATGTGTCTGATTGGAATGAAGTGTATTTTATCTCCTCAGGCACTGAGAAAGCGTCCGGCTCTGAGTGACGTTCTTCAGATCAGAGTGGAGAAATCCTGAGAATCACAAACAAACACACACACACACACACAGGTTTGTTTTTGTGAAAAGT